TGGACGCCCGGGCGCTATTGCTCGACGCCGTCGCCGAGCGGGACGACAACACCGAGACGACCGACACCATGTTCTTCCACAACTGCACGCGCGGGTTGCAGCTCGAGGCGTACGCCCAGCAGCACGCTCTCCAAGGACGATGGCTCTACAACCGGCTGCCCGACGCGATCGTGGCGCTCGTCTCGTCGTATCTCAAGCCTCGCGTGTCGATGCTGCGCCTTCTCGAGCGCAAGATCTACGACCCGCTCTTCGTCGTCGGCGTCGCCATCGTTGACGTCAAAGCCCAAGGCCTCGCGCTGAACGACTATTGGTATGCAGCGGTCGTCGTTCAAAGCTTCTTGGTCGGCGAGTACGACTACGACGACGTCCGCTACAACGTACAGACCGTCATTGGCCTCCTCGCAGCCGGTGCGCGCACCGGGCACCTCGACGCAGTGCTCACCCAATGCGTCGTCGACCGGGAACTTGTGGTCGTGCCAGCGCTGGTTGCCGTCGCCCACCGGTGCCCGAGTCTCGCGACACCGGCGTTTATCGCGAGTGCATCCAGTGTGATTCTCAACACGATAGTGCGCAACGAGAGCGCGCTACCGTCGATGGACGCGATGCTGCGCGCGTACTTTGCTTCGCTGCCAACGCACCGTGGCCACGGCCCCCGCACGTGTGTGGTCGCCAGCGCCTTTGAATTCATTCGGACCCACGACCGTGCGAACCTCGGTGGGTTCACCGACAAGTGGCTTGCGTCGCGCCCGAGTACGACGCTTTTGTACGACGCCATCGTGCTCCTGCAGTCGACGCTCGGCCTCATCGAGAGCGACGTGCTTGTGCGCCTTGGGATGGCGTATTTGGATGCAACGTCGTATCGCGAGAGCGACGTCGTCTACGCCGACTACTGTCTGCATGCGATTGCAGTCCCGGAAGCGTGCTGCTCGTCCTGCGGCGACTTTGGACGCTTTTTGCTGGCGCCGCTGGAAGTCGAGCACCGCTTTTGCGTCGAGCATCTCTGCGCGTCGATCATGGCGGTCGTGTCGGCGCACCCGCTGCAGCTTCGGACGCATGAACACAGTGTCTTGGAGTTTGGCGACGTGACCATGTGGGGCAACGCGATTGGCTACACGACGGCCGCCCCCACGCCCGTTGTCGACATTCTCAAGGTGCGCCAGCCCGGCCAGCTCTTGCCAAGCGACCTCCGCCGTTGCTTGAAGCAGTCGAAGACGACGTCGACGTCGACCGTGTACCGACGCGGCGTCGTGGACGAGCTTATGACGCGCTTGAAGGCGGCGACGATGCGCGAAGAAACCCGCGCGGCGACCGCGGAGTAGTTGTTGTGTGGGTACCCTTTTGACGAATACATGTGTCGAGTGAATATGGAGGTGAGTGCAGTCGCGTCAGTGGTGCACTTGAGACGAATCGCGTTGTCCTTTCCGCTCATCTGAATGGAGAGACAGCCAGAACTCAAATCTGGTTCTACATTGTGGTAAACCAATGTCTTGACCACTAGACCACAAGACATGGACAGGAAGCGCCCTTGTAGACCACAACGACGACATTGAAGGTTCACGGTGGCGACGTCGGAATGAAATGATGTCATCGTGACATACCCGCCGTTTCATCTCGGGGAAGGCGCGGCACTCGCGAAGCCATCCATCATCGCGCTTTCGTGTGCCAGCATGAGTTTCAACATGTACGTATCATGTCTTATCATGCTATAGAACTAAGAAAAGAAGGACACCAAATGCAAATATTCAAATTTGTATTACGATGCACAATATGTCTGTACTAGTAGTCTACAGCGCCGTCTGGAGTCGCGCATGGACCGCGGCGACCATTTCTACGTCTTTTCTATAGGTTTCGAGACCCTCTCGACGGACTCGCGATAAAGCGCCTGCTGCACCTTGATGACGCGGTGGCTGCCATCGGTCGTGGGTTCGAGCACGAGCTATTCCCGGTGCGCGACGAGCTCTGGGTCCAAGGTCTCCAAGTTTAGCGGCTCGATGGCCGACTACAAGAAGGCCATTTTGAACAATTAGAGCTCAAACGAGTTGGTGCTTGCATAGCGCCTAATACACTAGTATTGTTTTCGTCGTGCTGTGGAGTCCGAAAGTGTCATCGAGCGTCCAGTCCCAGTCTTCGCCATCGCACCTTGACGGGTGGTCAAGACAGGCCAAGGCGCTATGCGGAATCTCCGAAGACTTGGTTAGTTTCTGATTGCCCCGGTTCTCTTCGCGCTCCTTTGAGTCTGCACACCATGTCACGCAGCAGCAGCAGCAGCAGTGACCATGATACGAGCAACCCCGTCGATCGCATCAACCACGCGATCGAGCGTCTGGACTGGACGAGTCTTGGTGCCGTCCTTGAGGTGCCTGGGAACCCGGGGTATCGCCTTTGCCCCGCGACCGAGGCCGATTTCGAGACGTACGTGGCGGCATCCGAGTTCCAGGAGCTCCGTTCGCGCTACTTGATTTTGAACGACGGCTTCCTTTTCATCGTCGAAATGCCATCAGGGCTCCACGTCTTGCTCGCTGGCGCCGTGGCCGACCTCATGACGCTTGCTACCGGTACTGGGACAACGCATCTCGAATCATCCGGTAGTATGTACGTCGACACGTCCCATCTGCCTCCGGACCAGCGGCTGCCAATGCTGGAGCCCGATGCTTCGTTTGGTCCGACGCCCGTCTCGGGCGCGATTCGACCGGCTCAACTCGTGTGCTGGGGCGCGTTCCAGACCATCAAGATCGAA